CCCGGCCCGGACCAGCCCGGCGGCTGCCGTCGCATCCCGACAGCCGGGGGTTACTGCACTGTTCATGGAGTCCTTGCCGTGAGCACGGGGAGCATCACCTCTGCCTCTCTCTTATGACTAAAAGCTCCGAGCCGACTTTTATTCCAAATCGTAGCTCTCTAAAGCCGGCGTCAGAACAAACACTACGAAACACCTCGGCAAAAGTCTTCCCGGCCAGGGGCTCGAGAAGTAGTGTGCTAGGAGCAACAGCTGGTCTCTTCAAACACACAGAGAGGACACTTTTTTTGTTTTTATTAATAAAAAAGACTGAAATTTGAATCTCACCAGAAAAATCAGAACTGCTGTAGCCCCAGAGCTCTGAGGTGCTGACACCCATCATTTTTGTCATAGAGAGATGGGATCTCAGGTTATGCGTACTGCACCCTAAGCACTACAAGTTGCTTTGCTTTAGTAATTACCCTAAATCATGCTCTTTCCTCTCCCCTGTAGATCTCTGCTCAATCCAATTTTTGTCACGCAGCATGGGAAACAAACAGGAGGAGTTGGAAGCAGTCGTGCTGCTGGAAAGTTACAACCTGATTGCCATCACGGAAACTTGGTGGGATGAATCCCACGTCTGGAATGTGGCTCTTGATGGCTACAGGCTGTTCAGAAGGGACAGATGAGGAAGGAGGGGCGGGGGCGTTGCCCTTTACATCAAGAAAACATTACAGAGTGAAGATCTGTCCCTGAAGAATAACCACGAGCAGGTCAAAAGCTTATGGGCAAGAATGAGAGAGAGAGGCAACAAAGGGAACCTAGTGGTTGGTGTCTACTACAGGCCGCCAGATCAAGAGAAGCTGACAGACGAAGCGTTCTTCCTCCAACTCCAGGAGGCTTCACGCTCGCAGCCTCTTGTCCTACTGGGGGACTTCAACCACCCCGACATCTGCTGGAAAAGCAACACGGCAAGCTGTAGGCAATCCAGCAGGTTCCTAGAATGCATTGAGGACAACTTCTTAAGCCAGGTAATAAGCACCCCTACCCGAGGGGATGCGATACTAGACCTGGTGGTCACCA